GAATATAATTATTACTTTCCTTTACAGATGAAATGTGTGGAAGAAATATAAATATATGTGATATAGTGATATGGCAAATTTCAAGTACAATGCATCAAATGATACCCTCGGTTATTAATAATTGTGGTACTATGTGGATTCAAATACTGACACTATATTCAAATGTCATTTCCAACAAAAAGGTAAAAGATAAACAGAAGGAATCACTTGGTGATATAGTATTACTTTTCTTGAAAATTTAGTGTCCAAGAAGAAGTTAACACTTGTTTAAATGCTCTTTTTTTTTTAATGTATCATTAGTTTGCAATTCGAGAACCTCAAAGTGATCGACGTTCAGTGTATTCGTGCGACTTGTAGCATAAGTGTGGGACACATTTTTGATTTTTATATCGTTAAAATATAATTAACACAAACAGTCCTAAATAGAAAAATAATGTTCATCCTTCAAAGAGTTAAAAAAAAAAACTACTATCTAGTTGGTTAGATTCGACTCATCATAACTGTTTGATTGAATAAATCATTTGTTTTATATAGATTATGCTAAACACATCAAAACATTTCTTTATGTCGCATAAACTGCCCAGCTACGTTTCAAGCATCTTTTACGAACGAGGACAAATGTAATGGGTATCTTTTTATATTGGTTTGGAAAAATAGATTTAAATCTCGACATTACTTTTCTATTTTTATTTGTTCTTTACCTCCTCCTTTATCTTTTCTTTCGCTGGTCTTCTTCTTTTTCTTTTTGTTATATTGTGAAAATTTATACAATAGCTAACAGCTGACTAATCCCTCCATCTCCTATTGTCTCCTCATTATTCTTCCTTTCGTTAGACAATCTACAAAAGAAAATCCGAAGCTGCCATTTTTGACTTAAGAATCTTTCCTTTTTCTTCCTCTTCATTCTGCATTCTTTAACGCTCTTTTCAAATCATCAGGGTCTCTTTATTCTTTTCCCGGGCATTGGCTCTTGAGTGATATCAGACGAAGGAGATTAAAGAGAGAGAGAGCAAGAGAGAGAGAGAGAGAGGCAGAGAGAGCAAAAGAAAGAGAGAGAGATTATGGCTATTGATGCTTGTTGTTCAGAGGCTCCTGGTTCTCGAATCAGCCCAAGAAACTCTTTCTCCTATGATCTTGACTCGTCAGAGGATGGTGTCAGATTAGACTCAACACTTCTTGATTCAGGTTCGGAGTTCGATTTCTGCTTTGGCTCGAGTTGCTCTGTTCAAGAAGTGTCTCCGGCTGATGAACTCTTCTCCGATGGCAAGATTCTTCCCGTACAGATCAAGAAAGTAACCTTTCGGGTTCAAAGATCCTCTTCCCTCTCATCATCATCATCTTCTTCCTCTTCCTCTTCTTCCTCATCGTTCGGCAACCAGATGTCAGCACCAGAAAAGAAGATCATGAGACTCAAAGAACTTTTGTTAAATTCCGAATCGGATCTCGAAGACAAGCCAAAAGGGCTGTTCTTGCAGTTCAAGAGAAGCATAAGTGTCAACTACGACAAGAGCCGAAACAGCAAAGGGCTAATCAGATCGCTACATTTCCTCTCAAGAAGCAACTCCACAGGCTCTGCTCCAAACCCTAAGCCTGGCTTGCTCCACAAGGAAACCCATCACTCTCACAAAACCCACAATCTTCCTAAGAACACGTCTCCCTTAAGACGATCATCTTCGCTCTCAGCTTCCGTCCCTTATAAAAAGCCACTCGCCAGAAATAGTTTCGGAAACGGAAACGGTGGAATTCGTGTCACTCCAGTCTTAAATTTTCCACCGCCGGCATTTATCTCCAACGTCGCCGGTGGATTTTGCAGCATCGGATCACTTTGTAATGGTAAGACCAACAGGAAGACAAGATTATGAAAACATCTTTTGTCTTTTTGTGGCCGGAGAGGATGAAAAAAACTCAAACAGAAAATGTCTTTTTTTTTTTTAATTTTACTGTTTGTATAATGATGGAATATCGACAACACATGTGAAGATTAGTCAGCATGTGAGTTTTGTCTGTAATTTCAAAAACCAAAAAACAAGAATAATTCACAAACTAGGCGTAGTAGAAGAACAGGAACGCTTCTTTTGATTGGATCTTTGGGGTACGATAAGAGTATTCATATTTTTTTTTGCTTAATGGTAAATATTCATTAAAAATGATCGGTTTAGGTGTTACAAAATGTGTTAACAATTTGATCTACCTAATAAAATTTGGTTTCATGGCAAAAAATAATAAAAAATATGGAAACAAAAGCAATCAATCATTTGTGAAGTCCGTTGCCGTGAAGCAATGGGTGGTAACAAAGAAGCAATAATCATCTTGGACGATTTGGAGGAAACCAAGACCAACGACAAGCTGAACAAGATAGACTTCTTAAAGGCTATTGAAGACATTTACTAAGCAAAACGGAAGTTGTTTCACTAGAAGTCTGAACAGCGAATCTTTAGACTAAGAAAAAAAACAGAGGCCCGAACGAACACTATCCTCGATGTCTAAGAATCGACGCTCAGCCAACTAAGCCTAGCAGCCGACTAAAAGACTGGAACTAACTGACTAATGATTTAGAAATGCACACTCACTCTACCAAGCTCTTTTCCTGATGTCGGCTGGCACAGAGCTATGCGAATCACAGACCCATCAGCCCGTGTAAATACATCTATCAAGAAATTAACTCGTGTAAATACATCTATCAAGAAATAAGATAATATATCGTCATGGTGAATATCTGATGTGATGATTTAGAGAAGACTATGCAGTTGCATGCATATTCTTGTGTTGGATTTTGACTGGCTTTTTTCGTCGCTCGAGAGGTCGTCATAAGCTGGGCCGGAGCTAGGCATGTTGCACTCGGGTTCGGTAATTAGACACAGTTCCGAAGAGATTCAGACTCAAATTGTTTGTTTATAGTTACATGTTTTTTTTTTCTCAAGGAAATCTATATAACGAAACACACAAAATTCACTTTAAAACTTATATTAATCGTAAAACTGTAAACTTTTTGTAATCTACATATAACATATTTGAATTTAAATTAAACAATTACGAGAATTCGACTTTAATTTTTAGTTTCATTTCAAATTATTTATAATCAAGATCAAAACCTAGTAAATTAATAATTATTACTTGGTAAAAGAGAAGGGAAAAGCCAAGAGTTGGGATTCGTTTTGGGTCATATAGACCGATCGGTATTGTGGCCTCACCGAGAAGGGAATAATAACCTCCTGCAACAGTATTTCAAATCTTGAATTTAGTCACACAAAAATACAAAATATTCTTTCATTCACATAAATAAATAAAACTTTCAGGTAAGAGAGAGTGACACTGATGTTGAGTGAGTCAGTTAAGAGCATAGTATCAATATTCTAAAGCTTTACAAATGTCTCATGATCTCATCTAAAACCATTGCTTCATATCGTCTCCACATTAATCAACTCGGTGTAGGCATTGCGTAGCTACGGTCTAGTTGTAATATTTGTTAGTCAAACAAAAATAAAGAAAGTGTATCATCAGTCAGCTTTTACTTACTTCATGTCTGTTGATGAAAAAACAAACATTAATGGAAATTGTTAGTCGAAAAAAAAGAAGGATTCTATATTTACAGGGTTAGTTTGACAAAATAAATAACTATATCTAGTGATTTAATTAAAAAAAATGTAAATATGCTAAAACTGAAATAAAACAAGTAACCATAACCGATCAGTTTCCTCTTTCTTAAAAAGTTGCCTCTTTTAGCCTAATTAAACATATAGAGTTTTACATGTAAAAGCAAAGACCTAAACGAAGTCTATTTTCATCTCCTGCATATGTTGGAGACTCTATTATACATTTCAATATCAAAGACCCGATCAAAAACATTGATTGGTAAACTTTGTGGAATGGTGGAATAATGGAAAAATGTAATTCTGCAAAAATTTTGCCAATAAAAAAAATTTGCGGAAAAATGCCAAAACTCGAATTCTGCAAATGCGGAAATACTTAAAAAAATACAAAAAATTGATTAAGTGGAAAAGTGTGTTTCAGGTAGCTTATTTGCGGAATTAATATTTTATATCATTCAATTATATAACTAATTATATTTTATTATTTAAATAAATATAAATAAATATATTTATACTACATATATTTATATAATGATCAGATTATATATATAGATTAAATATTGCAATATAATTATATATTTTATAGTAAATAAAAAATAAAAATAAAATAAATAATTACAATAAAAGTTTTAATTTTTCTAATTATATTAAGATTATGTTTTATAATAATTAATATTTTTTAATTTTTATTATATTAAATTATATTTAAAATATATTATTATGAAAAAATAATTTTATATATTTTCTGTCATTTTACTATTCTACCATTCCGCCATTCCACATAATTTATCCAATCATATCAAAATTAATTATTCTATTATTCTGCATTTCGCCATTCTGCAGCTTAATTTTTTCCATCATTCCGCAATATTTTATGGTAATTGGAAACAGCATTGTATTCATTATCTTTAGTGTATGTTTTGTTTCTTTTTACATTTTAGCTTTCTTTATAACATTTTTAAGTATAATATAAGAAAAACATTTCTCCCGCAATTGATCACTTCCAAAACATTTTCTAAATTAGATCTTTTCACAGCACATTATAAGCACTACAAATTATTTCGTGTGCTCGGTTAAAGGACATGCTATGCGATACAAAACAGTGAAGGAGAGAACCGTTTGGTTAACTGAATTGAAACAGACCGGAAAAAGTAAACCGGTATAGAGAAGAGCGAGTCAAACTCACGGAAACAATCAAACGCGGGAAAAAAAATAAAGCCACCACAACAGGTAGTCCATTTTTCGTATAGCACACACTCCTTGAACTATTGACCAAACACACTCTTGGGAAAGACATCGCAGTTTCTAATATAGAATGTAATCCAAAATATGAATCATGACGGCATAAACACACAAAAGTGTTCTCTTTAAACGCAAAAGAAACATTTTTGTGGATCAAACGACCACAGAGTTAATCCAAAAATGTCAGTAACTGAATCGATCATAGACAATAATCATTAAGAAGTCTATAGAGGAATGGTATAAAGCTAAAAAGAACAGGCATTAAACACAAACACAATCTTAAATCTATGAGCTTGGATAGTCACAAAAGGCAAGATCTTGTGAAATGTTAAAATCCTTTTTATTGATTATGATTGGCTTTTCTCTTCTGCTTTGTACAGAAACCAAACTAACAAATATAAAACCGAAAGAGACAAAATTGAGCAATACTAAACATCTTAAGCTTCAACATTCTGCTGATTTGATCACACACTCCAACTTCAAGAGATTCCACAAGTCAGCAAAATTAGGCTATGGCACTTTTAAGTGGAACTAAACATCCATTATCATCATCTCTGCAGCAATTAGGAAGCAAAAAGTTACAAACTTGCAATGTAAATTAGGTCAAAAAAATCAAATTTTGGGGATTGTGTAAAAGATGATACCTTTCTGTTCTCAGCGCCGTCTGGGACCTTGTAGATATCTTTGGTGATTTCACTAAAATAGTGAGCTGGAAGCAACAACTGTAGCCATGGAAACAAGAAGCAAATAAACAAAAAGGCAAAATCAGAATTTGGCTAATGAAATTCGAAATTTTTTGCATCAAAGAAAGATTGAGAATCTGTGGGGGATTTCGACTTACATCGACTTGTTTCTGAACGGTTCTGGGTCGTTTCTTGGGTCGTCGCGGTGGTCGCTGACACATCATCGCCATGTAATCATCTTCGACCTCTTTCTTCGTCAGCGTCGAGATGAATTTGGGCCTCGACGAATTCGCCGATTTGTTCCCCAAACTCGACGGATTCACTCGCTTCTCCTCGATAACCCCTGATCCCTTGTGGCTGTACTGATTCGCTTCGCTGGTTCCGGTTTCATGGATCGGAGATTTGCAGGCGGCTCTTCTCTTTCTTAGATTCCACGGCCTCGCCTCCACCGTCGTTTCTCCCGGCGCTTCCGGCGGAGAAACCTCCCTCGCCGTACTTCTCTCCTTCCCCCGCGGCTCTAATTCCTCCTTCTCGTTCGTCTCTTCTTCTTCCTCTTCGTCGACGCCTAAAGATTGTTTACGGAAAATCGATTCCGTCATCGTTCTGAGATCCGACATGATCTTCTCCGTGAACTCTTTGATTCCCTCTCCGTCGCCGTTACTCGCCGGTCTCCACGATTCCTTCTCCAATCGACGACTCCGGTTGTTCTCGAAACCACCGCCGAGGCGGAACGGAGCCGCACCGTCGAATTTGGAAGGCGTGGGTCGGCGTCGGAGTCGGTGGTCACCGGAGGCGGAACCGCCGTCAGATTCGACCTTCATGCATCTCAGATTTCGCTGAACACCCCACTTTAAGTTCGGGAGGGTGAAATTGTGACGAGTCTTCGATCTCTCATGTCCCGTCGCCATGTAATCTCCCTCACCAGGTAAACCCATCGACCAACGGAAATCTCCTCTTTCGTCTTCCTCCGGCTGAAACTAACGGAGATTTTTCTCAAAAGGAATTATTCAATCGGCGATTTTTCAGTTTCTCTCTCGGCTTTCGTTTTTTGGTTTCGGAATTTGGATGCTGCAAGAAAGAAAGGGGAAGAAGGGAGATTATTATTTATATATATACGACTGTGTTTGGGGAAAAAAACTAAAAAGGCGAGAAGGGCCGTTTTTATCACTCAGATATTTTGGAAATTATGTGGTGTATCGAAGGGTATTTTAGAGAAATTACATTTGGGAGTTGCTAAAATGCACCGTTTGTGCTTGGGCCGTAAGTTTTAGCTTTTCTGATCTGTTTTTTTTTTAAGTGATCGGTTGCTTATCAACCGTCCGATTAGTTCACCGCTGATAGTAGCCGTAGATCTTAACTCACCGTACAATTTCACAAAATCGTAATTCATCAAGAGGCGAGTTTTTTTTTTTTTATTTGGGCCTCTTACTATTATTTCCAATATGGACTAGGAGTGTAAAATATGTGGTGTGGTAAATGGTAATTGTTTTAGTCTGTTACTGAGGGATCTTCTTTTTATTAGCTTATTAGAGTTTTTTTTAATACATCACATCACACTTGTATTCAGGTTAATTAGAGTTTGAGGGATCATTCAAACTTAGCTAGAGATTACTAATATTGGCATATTGCTATTGGCCTCAACTAAAGCGTAAAGGAAATTAATGTGAATTCTATAAAAAAATGGACTTTTTTCATCCTTCTAAACCGATGAAACATTTGTAGGATAAGTCATAAGTGTTATCATTTTCATTAACATGCATTAATTAAAAAATTATATTTATAAGTTAATATGTAAAGAGTAATAATTTTCTTCTTTTCAAATATAATTTATCTACCTCTTGAACGATTCTGAAGAAGTTGGTCTTAGTTTTCTGTTTTTCGTATTCCAATGTCTTTCAGGAAATATGTAACTAGCCTGCATGCACATGTGTACAATGTCACACGCCATCTTAGTTTCATATCAACCAACTTTACAAGTGGTTTTCACCTGTTCAGCCACCTTCATGACTCTATTATATAATTCGATCAATTTGTCTTTAGTGATCCGTTATCCAGTTCTGATCAAAAATATTTAATTAGTTTTATGGTTTTTACTAAAGAATAGTCAACAACAAAAATTATTTGATGAACATTCACTCAAAAGATGGGTATTACGAGATGACAAAGAGGAAATGAAATGGTATGGGACTAAGATCGAGTCTTGAAGTGGAAACAAGTGTAGCTTTGTAGGCTATGTCATGCTAGCTAGATAATTTGGGATGTGAAAATATACTTTTTAGAGTGATTCAAAAGTGTTATTCACGCGAATGGTCAACCTCAATATAACACTGATGGATTCACAAGTGAAATTATTGAAACTCCAAAAAGAGATAATTTCAAATTTGTGGGTCTAGAGAAACAAATGGTCGTGCCGATCTCTTAACCAAGAAAATAACTCCTTTGAATTAAAAAGAAAAGAAGCTATAGTATATGTATAACCAACTAACTGAGTTTATTAGATAGCCACCATATGGAGGAGAGAATATGTACAGTTCATATATGAAAAGGTAAGTATTAATTTATCATTTATTTAAAATTTAGTAGATCACTTTATATTGCAAAGGAACCTCCAACGGCTATCTACTTAATACATACACATATAATTGAAAAAGTAGGTTGTAAAAAGGAACCGACCACAGACTTTTCACAGGTTGGCTTGGCGCTCCTCATTAAATCTAAGAACTCAAAACTTTTCATCTCTTATAAATCTTGAATAATCACATGATGAATGTTCCTTCTAAGAAACCCTTAGAACATTACAAATCAAAAATGTTCAAAAGAAGAAGACCCATTTTCCAGAAGGTCTCAAAAATACTAAAAGTATCGATCTTGAGAAGATCTATCATCCCAAGACTCAAACTTCCAATAAAACAAAGAAGATCAGCAAAGAGGGTGAAGCTCCTTCAGCAATACAACTACAAGTTTCATCAAGAGTATCAATTCTCGCCTTCACGCACATCCCTTATCCAATACCATAGCAAGCGAATTCGCATATCAAGATCAAGTCTTAAACGCATTTACCGTTTACTGTTTCTTTCACGGTGCATCGGCCGGTCCGATGATGAGTGTGTTGTTGATACAATCAGACAAAGTTGGATGGAGATGGAGATGAAGCCTCTGCATTGTAACCACGAAGTTGCTTCTCCATCAAGGGAGCTTTCGCAGCTGTTCGATTACTTCAGTGAAGATGATTCAATTGACTTGAAGGCTGAGAGATTCATCGAAAAGTTCTACCATGAGATGAGGATGCACGAGCGGGAATTTGCTTGATTTAAGTGTTATAATTACTTTTTGCATTTTGTAATCGTTTATTTTCGTATTATTTTTCATTTTCCACGTTATTTGTATTATTTAATTTTCTCCCCGTGATATTTGAGATTGGGGAGAATCATTTATTTTGCACAATTATCTCAACTCGTTTGATTTCTATACTTTTTTTTGGGTTTTCTGTTAATTTGTATCCACGAAAAGAAAAAAAACATTATAGTCTCCTGAAAAGAGTATTGTAATACAATTTGTATTCATGCTTTCTAAACGATTTTTTTTTCAAGCATGGAAAATGGTCATCTTTTTTTTTTTGATCAACTGGAAAATGGTAATCTCGTCTTCGAATAAATCAAAGAATCCTTTTAAGAATATTCAGGCTAAAGTAAACAAATGGACATTACTGATTCAGATGATTTGCATAATGAAATTGGATTTTCTTTAGGGATAAAGAGGTGGATGGCAAATGATGGGGTTTTTTATTAGGGAATCAACAAGATGTTTATGAGCTAGAAGAAAATGGCAAAAGGATGCCGAAAGAAAAAAAAAATGTTTCTTATTATTACACCGTCTGCCATGTACCGCGCGTGGTTATGTGGAGCTAGAATAATATGTTATGAACAACTGAGTTTAAGAGCGAGAGGGGTTGGCGATAACAGATACGCTTCTTGTAGCATTAAATGGGGAGACAACATTATCTATAAGCCGCCTGACGTATGCATGAGATGGGCTGAGGGGATGGATAGTTATTGCGATTTTTGTATTGAGTGGGCGAGAAAGTGAAAATATCTGCATACACCTAGGTATGTGGAGGCTCCATAAATAGTGGTTTTCTCCCTCTAATTTCATGTAGCGCTACACCCGGTTGGAGCAGGTATACATATATTCTGGTACATTCATTTCGTTTATGAATATCTATGACTAATATTTAAGTGATTCTGTTACTAATAACAACAACATTCTCGTAGGGGGGGGGGGGGGGGGGGGGGGGGGGGGTGGGCGATTTGTGTTGCTGGATGGATATAAACTTGGTGCGGGCCGGATATAAACTTGTAACGGATTATTTGATAATGATGGGGATTTGTAATGATAAAAGTGAATTGTAGATGTCTATTAACATTAATGGAGTGTTATATTCATCTCCAAAAGTTATAGATTGTTATATTTACTCAGCGGATCACGTATCCGTAAATTATATGATAGTGTGTTATTTTCTTTCATGGATTTTTATGTTGCTCCTATAACTATTATATATGTTAGTATATGAGGCTATATACCTGTCTATTAATATTAGTGGAGTGTTACTAAATATGATGGACGATTATCTGAATGGCTGCTAAAAGAACACTATATTGAAGAGTAAAAAACGTTAAAGACATCTAATGTATTTGATGGACTGGTTTACTCAGGATTGGATCAAACATAGAATGTCATATTGGATGTGGTATATAAAGGAGATGAGCTGTATTTGGGTCGTGTGTTCAAGAACAAACAAGACTGCAAGGTGAAGATAGTTGTTCATGCCATAAATAGGAACAAACAAGACTGCAAAGTGAAGATAGCATCTCCATGTGATCCACATTGGGGTCATCTACTTCATCGGCCCATGCGAAGGCACTTTGGGGAGTTCCATCGAATTCGCCTTCGATTATTGTAGTCACGGCCACCTACAAAAGAACACCCGCATACTGATTTATAAGGCCACATGCTCAAACTTAGACATCCATATATTCGGGTACCTAATTACATTGTTGGAGATTTATAACATAAGATACAGGGCTACCCAGGTTTATAATGAAGTTACCTGTCCGGCAGAAGCGAGATCCCAAAGCTTATCTAGTTAACCATTGGAGTCTAACTAGAGTAATGGATGACTTGAAATCAGAGCGGCTGTGCATATATGCATGTGAAGATCTGGTTTGGAGATCTGATTTTGTTTGAAATGTTGAGAGTACCGAAGATGGATCCGAGATCTCCAAAAAATCTAAGCATCAAATCAACGTTTGATAATAGATTGAGTTAGGCAAGATTATTTACCTTTAACCATAGTACTTTCGAAATCTCGCCAGATCTGCTAAACTGTTGAAATCTTGAGAGAAAAATCAATAGATTTGGAAAGGAAGGTCAATAGAGAGAATACATGTATAATCGAGAAATTGTTGGGAAAGAGAATCAAAGAATTGTTGGCAGAAAGAAGATGAAGCGAGGGGTGGAGGAAGATGAAAGCAGTGTTGGAGGAAAATGAAAATGGTGACGCGAGAATGAATTGGGAAGACGAATTAATAATAGAAGAAGACAATATATTTGTATCAAACTCTTTAATTATTAACATTGAATGGACATCACTTAGACATCTATCAATAATTTTGGATGACTGAAAATCAAGTGATATTAGAAACAATGTTTAGATTTTTCTGAAATTAAATCGGCGAGCGCGTAAGGGTAAAATTATAAATAAAGGTGGCAAAATAATTTAATGATTGAGCCTAAAAATAGCATATATTGATTACTTAATTTACTACCGGTCTTATGTTATCTAGTGGTATTTCTCTTTTCTTTATGAAACTAGTCTTCGCCATATTCATTAACTTCTTTAAAAAAAAAAAAGATTTTATTTTCTTTTCATTATCATTTTTTTAGTTTTGTTCTTCTCTAGTAATTAATTTTGTCTTCTCCATGTCCTCAATTTATTGCGTTTGAGACAGACCATTTATTAACTCGAACACTTGCTTGTTGTGCCTACAAATTTGAAATGAACGACCAAACAATATTAATTAAAAGACAAACATGAAAAAAATCATATACACAAACTAAAAGCAAAAAGACTACAAAAAAATTTAGTTACCTCTTTCTCCCAGTCACATCTCATAACAATAAAGATCAATATCAATGTTTGAGTCGCGGTTCCTCCGAATATCATACCAGCCCAAATACCCTATCAACATATAATCACAATATAAATATAGAGATGTAGAGAGATTAACCTTAAAATGTTGCTAATTTGATATCCAATCAAATAAAATTTGGATTACCTTGACACCAGACTTGAAAATCCATCCCATAACCAAACCAAGTGGAAGTCCAATAAAATAGTAGCATCCCAAATTTATATATGCCACGAATGATTGCCAACCCGAACCAATCGCGACTCCTAATCAAAAGTCAAGAGTCAATGCATTCAACTATTGATCCAGTTTAATTATTTTGGGATAACAAAATCAACTTTTTGAGGCGTACCGGAAAGAACCGGTTGGACACTGTTGAGAAGAACCGTAAAAGCTAGAAGGATAGATAGATTATTGACTGCTTTTATGACGATTTCACTTGAAGAAAAAATCCACCCGATTTGATCATGAAGAAATACTATAAGCACCGAGAAGATTATTCCAATGATTAACGATTCTGTCACTGATATAATCATCGCAAATCTTGCTTTTTTTCCATTGCCTGCTCCTAATTCATTCGCCACTCGTACACTAAACATCATCATATTAATTGTTGTTATAATATGCATTTAAACGATTAACGCAACTAAACTAGTAAAAACAAATTTAAGACAACACACTTTTCTGTCCGACACGACCATATGGTATAACAAATTATGGGTTATTATCAGAGAAAATTGGGTCAGTAATTATATCCAGCAAAGTAGTTATTTTTGTAACCATATTGAAGTGCTATGATATTCTTTTTATAAGTTATATTTATACCTAAATTGACCTTATATGAAAACAGTTTATGGTTTACTTCATTATTCTATACTATTTCTGATTATAACATAGAATTCTATTCTATTCTATTATATGTGTGTTTATATTAATATAAATAACTATAGTTTTATGTTTAACTACACCATTTTAAATTGTCAACAAAAAAACTACACTATATTAAAGTTAAATATACTCAATATACTCAATTTACTCAAATTTTAGTTTTTTTTACTTCTAAAGTTGTTTTATTGTGTTTGGGTTTAAAATTTTAAATTATATATTAATAGGAGTTAGTTCAATAGTCTATTTATAAATATAGAATGCTATTCTATTATATGTATGTTAATTTTAAATTATATTTTAATAGGTGTTAGTTCAATAGTCTATTTATAAATATAAAATGCTATTCTATTATATGTATGTTTATATAATAAAATTTGTGTTCTTTATTAATGATATATTATGGGTCTGTTTGAGAATGACTAGTTTGTTTTGCCAAAATTCAAATCATATTATATATATATATATACATATATCAGTGTTTTTGGTACTAATGCAAGATTTAATTATATAATAGTATGAAATTAAAGCAATAAACATAATTAGTTGGGGTTGTAGTACAGCATTCAAGATAAAATAGTACAGTATAGTAGTCTATTTCTCTCTTTTTCCAAAGGTATTTTTGTCCCAAAAAATAAGTTACAGTTATTCTCTACATTCCTATTTTATTATGGGTATATTTTTAATTTGAAAGTTCAATATGATTATTGAGCTAAATAATCCTTATTATTAATCATCTATTCAGAAAATATTACCTGAAAGAGATTATATATATATAGATAATCTAATAAGCCATGAACTAGTCTAACCACAGATCATCGGTCTCTAGATCATGAATATAACCGAACTAATTAAACAATAGTTAAAGTATCTATACCATAGTAATAAACTCAATTGAAAGATAGGATATACCTGGTCCCGGCAAGGAACGCAATTGGAATCATCATTTCCAGACCATTTATCGACATGCTGCGGGTGAAAATTATAATTAGAATTTTTTTTTTCATAAAAAAATGTGATGGGAATATGATATAAAAAGGTTCATAAACAATAATATATCAATCTCCAAAAATATATATCTGACGTACCATATAGACAAAGAGTCGACAGCGATTTTTGTATCCTTCAGATTCCCAGTCATCACAATTAAAATCTTATAATACCAACTCTCCAAGCTGTTTCGATAAAAAAAAAAAAATCTACCGTAAGAAGTTGTGTTTCCATCCGTAAACCTAAAAAAAAAAAAACCAAAGAAATGCAAAACAAGTTGGTTTTAACTAAATACAGTACCAAAGCATGATTCCAGAAGAAGCAGAGAGCTTAGCAAATTCCCATAGTCCGGTGAAAGCTTCGATGGAGAAACCGGTCCAAGTGAGCGGACAACCGCCGCAAGTGGCATAAGTATATAAGATGAAGACATTGAGCCACCATGACACGTTAACAGTGGCCATGGTCCCTATGACTCCAAGTTTAAGACCGTACACAAAGAGAAAGCACACAACTAAATACAGTACCAAAGCATGATTCCAGAAGAAGCAGAGAGCTTAGCAAATTCCCATAGTCCGGTGAAAGCTTCGATGGAGAAACCGGTCCAAGTGAGCGGACAACCGCCGCAAGTGGCATAAGTATATAAGATGAAGACATTGAGCCACCATGACACGTTAACAGTGGCCATGGTCCCTATGACTCCAAGTTTAAGACCGTACACAAAGAGAAAGCACACAATTATGTGAACTACAAGTGCCACTCCAGAAGAAATTGCAATCACCTGGTAATGTAAGAGAATATTAGCCAAACACACTATCAATAAAATATACTTGCTAGATTTGGTAGCAAATTCGAAATGATCGGTTACAAAAACGAAAACTAAGTTTTTAAAAACCACAAACAAGCCTTAAACTAACGTTCCAAATTTTTAGTTACATACCATATTCTTGAGCTGGCATTGGAGAAATCGATTGAGAGGGTTAAAGAAAGCAAATGCAAAATGGATAGGAATGGCCCAAACGGCGATAATACCGGAAAGCTCTGCGATGTCGTCAGGCTGGCCGAAGAATTTAAGTATAGGGGAGGCAAAGATGTACATAGGGAGGAGCAAGATGGAGCATGAGAATAGAACAATCCAAGATCGTTGCAAATATACTCCCAACATGTCATACTTCTTGGCTCCAAACGCTTGACCGCACAGCGTTTCCAGCGCACTCGCCATTCCAAGCTGCATGTATTTATAGTTTCTTCATAAATTAAACAGTACACTATAATATAAGTCAAAGAAAATGTTTCTATCTATGTGTGTGTGTGTGTATACAAGGAGGCCATAGTTGAAGCCGATGATGACGTTGTTGACAATGGAGATGGTAGCGAGCTCGAGCTCGCCGAGGTGGCCGGCGAACGCCTGAGTGATGACGAGGATCGAGTAGGTCGAGACTCTTGTGAATATGGCTGGTCCAACGATACGCCATAGCTTCTTCGTCTCCATCCATACTCTTCTCGTTATTTCCCCGCCTTCCTCCTCAGCCTCGTTTTGATCCTTTAACAGAGGAACTCTCATCTTCTCTACACCTTTTGGTTCGTAGTCTTGGTCTCCCATCGCCGATCTTCTGTCAAAAAAAATTAAAAATTAGAAAAAAACGAAAGTAGATTTGAGATAATACATAATGTGATGATAAATAGACCACGAGTGAAGACGTAGAGAGGACGTGCCCACCAATGAGGGATTTAAAAATCATATGTAATATTATTATATAAAAGTTAGAAGATTTTGGAAGCATGAAATCATATATAAGAAAAGGATTTGATTCTGTCTCTACTCAAATTTTTTTTTTAACATTGACATTCTTCACGTTAATTCCGTACCTTTCACTCGTCTTAATTAACCACACTTATTTCTTGTGGACACCCAACCATTGATAGACACAATAATTAATACAGTACTCTTTCATTTCAACTAATGTCCGCGTGAATTATTATTTTTTGTTGATTTTTTCAACCTTTTTTTTATATTTTTTTAGAAACAAATATGATAGTTTAACACTTGTTATATGTTAACTACTAGGTGGTTGGCCCGCACATATGTGCGGGTATAATATTAATTAATTAATTGTAATATTTAAACTTTAAATATTTGTATGTTTGTATATATATATATATATATATATTGTTTTAATATTTCACAAACTTCTTTCTGAAATCAATGTATTTTAAATTTTTTTATTTTTATAATGCTTGTAATAGTATATAATCACAAATATGAAAGTTATGTTAAATAATAACTAAATTCTTATAATATTAATATGTTTTATTTTTCCTTACACAATCTACAATATGCTTTTTTGCATCTTACATAATATGAGTTTGTAAATACATATATAATATATTTTAAGTATATATTTTCTTGATTTATTACAAATTAAACTGAAATAGTTTTTACCATTTTTACTTATTCCTAAGAGCGGATAGATGGTTGGCACGCATGTGCGGGCATACCAATCACTTTACTACACTTAGAATAATAAAGATTTTTAAAAATATATAAATTGGATAATAATTAAAATAAAAATTAGACTGTAATCAATCTTAACAAAATATATGCACAAAAAAAGTTCGTATGTGACTTCAACTAATGTACAACTAATATTTATATGTGTACACGTATTTGTAAAAAAATTGAAATATGGCTCGTACGTGTTAAAATTATTTTAAGTGACTGTGTAAAACAAATGATGAGAGATTTATTTTTATATACTTTTATTTTTATCTATTATTCATATTGTTTCATCTTATTATAATTTATTCTTTCGTTCAGTTATTTTTCAATTCATTTATGATCTCAAAATTTTGATATACAATGAAAACAAAATTATATATATATATATTAATATGATATAAAATTTTATTTTTATTTGAAATATAATAAGAGATAAGATGAGATGGTAACATAAGTTATGCACATATTATAAAACAACAATAAAAAGATGATAAAAGTTATAGAAAAATATATGGTCCTATTAATATTATAAAATAATAATTAGTATATACTTTATTCATTTAGTAAATATTGGTTTGAATTTTTTTTTTCATTACGTTTTTTAAAAAAAAAATCAATAAAATTTATTTATTTTATTATTTTTAACATTTTATTCTTTAAATTATTTTTATCATGATTGTATTTTATTTAAAATTGTATTATTTAATAATTTGTTTATTTAAAACTTTTTTAGATTTAATTAATAACTTTCCGAAATAAAAATATATCATACTTGAAGTATTATTAATAAATAGAATTTTTACTATTCTATTGGATAATTTAATATTATTTTTTTATTTTTATATGAAATTATAATATATATATATATATTGTTGAAAAAATTACGTAATTATTTTTTATGAAATTATGAATATATGTAAAAAACTAAAATTATAATAGTTTTTATTTTCTGTTAATTTAAATTTGTTAATTTTAGTGTTGTAAATATAATTTAGTTTATTAATGTTTTAATTCCACAATTTTTATAATTTCAATTCAACCAATCAAAATATTTCGTTTATTTTAGGATGTTTGACATGTCATATTTACATGTCATCAATTAAAAGCACTAATTTTGATTGTAGTGTTGACAAGTAAGCAATTTTCAATAATGTTACTTCTCAAATAATATGTAGTAGATTACTATAATACATGTTTGAACAACATTAATAAATGAAGAATTAGCACAAAAATAATTTAAATATTCAACTATCTTTTTTTGGATAATTAGAACCTATATGTTATCCAAAAATTAATAAATAAAAGTTTCTCTAAATAGTTGAAATATACAACGTTACCTTTATCCATTAATTTGCTTTAAATGGATTCTAGCTACCAACATACATAGATATGAAGATAGAAAGAACTTTCTAACTATGAACTTAGAAGTTAGAACAACACATGCATTCGAACTAAAATACATGATAACTGCAAAGTTATACTTATATCTAGCTGATACTTACCAATGCACATTTCATCTGTTTCTTTGATCCAGTCCACTACCAAATAATCGCTGCTTTAGCACTGTCACCAGAAATTTAAACCCTTATTAGTATAGTTAAACTAAATTGTACTCATCTTCGAGTTAAGAATAACAACAACAAAATATAAGAAAACAAAAGTATACCTTATGAATTAAAGCAATTAGAGAGAGTTGGTTGTGGTAACCTTTATCTCTCTCTTTTTTCGGCTTCAGTTGGGAATTTGCCTTTTTTTAGGCAGCTTTTACCTCTTTATGAGGATATTTCTGGCTCTATTGTCATATGGAATGTTTCTGGTGATAGAACTCATTTACCTCTTCCTGAGACCATTAGGATGTGCGTTTGCCTATCATTACCTCAGTATGAGACTGTGATAGTTTGGGGAATTTGTGAACATCTCAGCCGTTTTTCCTTTATGGAGCTTCAAAAAGCGGTGTTGGTTTTCTACTGTAATCTCTTATATCATTGGTCTTGGCTGTTCGATTTCTCCCATAGACAAGTTTACTCCTGTAAGGAGCTGTTCGATTTCTTCAGTGCCTGTTTAAGTGGTTTGTATAATTTTGCAGAATTTGTGATGTTTAAAAGTCTCGAAGATGTGGAGGAACTCATTGATACCCTCCCGTGTTCTTTTGCTGAATGCTTTGGAGACCTCACCTTGCTTCGGTCCAAGCCCAGTGAAGACTCTCAATCATCCCGAAAGCTAATTCTACAAGGTCTAACCACTTCTAATCGCAGCTGTGTTATCTCACCTTTGGTTCCAGACTTTGAAGTCCTCATGTTTACCCCTTGCTTGGGGTTGGATATGTATGAAATTGCAGGTTTTTTCTTTGATATTAGAAGCCTTGTTACTTTCTACTATCAGCTATCTTTGCTTTTTATTTACTGTCATTTAAACTATGCAGCTGTTATACTTGCAAATGTTATTTTGTATCTCTATTTCCGTTTGGAAGACTCAGTTTAAGTTAATGAAAAGCAGTTTGTTGACCAAAAAAAAAAAGAGAGAGAGTTGGTTTAAGCATTGTGTATATAGTTTTTAGTTTTTGGTTTTGAAAATTTTACGTCGTACAAAAGGTTGCTTCACCAATTCCCTTTCATTTGGGCCTTTACAACTTTATTGGGCCTTCCAAATGTTGCACGTTTGCATATAGTCCATTATATTATACGCACGTTTACAATAGTGACAAGATAAAAGGGAATTAGGGAAGAGGTGAGGTAACGAATGAGAGATCGACATGCCTATTAACCACTATTGTGTCGTAATGTGTTTCTGAAACTCGTAGGACAGTTGGATGCTAGTCCACTTCGAGTGTCTTCAAATTTAACCATATATTATAAATATCATAATGTACGTATCGAAGACATACGTGCACTTTTGTTTTTTACTTTTTATTTGGGGTCCTCCGGTCACTTCAATTGCAAAAGGATATCATTTTGTTGTGTGACAAACGAATTACAAGAAATTAGTTAAATAAAACGAACACACATTACTCCCCATGTGAGTTAACTAGAGTCATAGATTCTTCTTGGATTGTGCCTAAATACATGCAATCTATGTTTTTAAACTCAAAAGAAAAAAAGAAAACGGATCGTGTCGTGAGATAGGTCACTGGATGATCAACTTGATCTAATTACGACACTAGTAAAAAACTTGGTTATAGCCACTTTTTCTTTCGTGACTAACGCAAAAATACTGTGGCTATAAGATCATATAGCCACGAAAAATCACGTAAAAAAACCGTCTCTATACGATCGTGACTAATTTATTTCGTGACTTTTCGTGGCTATATAGTCACGAATTAGTCACCGGTACTTTTCGTGACAACATTAGTCACAAATTAATCACGCCATTATTCGTGTCTATTATTATTATTAGGTACGGTATTTGTAGTGGTTATATAGTGGCTTTTTAAAAAATAATAAAATTAATTAGTTTTGTTACATAATTGTCACTGATTTTTTCGTGACTAATCGTATATTTTTTATAAAAAAAAATAATTTCATTTTTTTAACCTTTTTTATATTAATTTTTCTTTTCTGTTTTTTGGGTTTAATCAACAAAATTCCGAAATATACATGATTGAAAATCTTAAACAGATCTTAAGCCTCAAGAATTCAAAAAAACCCAAAACATAAATCAGAAAAACCAAAGAACAAAATCAGCAGCTAAACCTAAACCGAAGGCTGACCCAAGCTTAACCAAACAAAACCCTAATCCTTAAAATTATGACGACGGCGATGTGGTGTCAGTGGTGGTGAGAACGGCGCGGCAAGGATGGAGCAGCGAGATGACAAGATCGGTGAGCATCAGAGAGGAGCGTCGGGCTACAGGATCAGAAAAAAAAAAGTTAGATCTGAAGAAAATAAAGTGGAGAAGAAGAGAAGGTAGGAGATGAAGGGGAGAAGAAGGAAAATAAAATACTTACAGTGGATTGATGGCGGTTTTAAAGAGATGCATCAGGGTCGAACTGAAGAAGAAGAGTAGGAATAAGAAGAGGAAGAGGAAGAAGAAGGAGGAGAAGAAGGAGGAGACAAGGAGAAATAGAAGAAAAGGAGAAGGAGAAGCAAAGGAAGGAGAAGATGAGGTTTGAGATGGAGCGCAGAAGGAGAGGACAGCGAAGGAGGAAAAAAAAATTGCCGTAAAAGGAGATAAGGAAGAAAAAGAG